AAATGAAATATTAATTCCACAAGGTCAAAAGTCACTTAATGTTTCAAGCTGTAATACAGGTAAGACACAACATCCTGATTAAGATTGCCAATAAGAGACTTCAGGTATTTTAATGGAGCATGTTTTTAAAACAACCTTCTGGTTGATGATAAAACAGGAAAGTATATGAGACGGAGATGACCCAATGAATAAGACATTTTTCGAAAAATTAAGCAAATCTAAGGTAAATTATGGAGGGCCTTAAAATGATTCAATTTAGAGAATACATAGCTATAGGCAATCAGTGTCATTCATTTATCTATTTTATTTTCACCTTAGGCCAATTCACATTCATGAACTCTATCCCCAAATGTATATTTTATCGGGATTAGGCCACTTTATGTGATTGATGATGAGATAATATTCAGTGTAGAATCAAAACGTTATAATTTAAAATCAAATGATGTCTCTTTCGAGAAATCATTTTCACAATTCAAAACCATAAAGCCTGGTGGCATTTCACTGAAGTCATTACGATACATTCAAGCCCATCAAATTTCAGCTGCTTCTATTATTTTGGCTAAAAATATTGAAACTTCACCCTCTTTTTCCACTGTGTTTTGTTATCTTTGGACTACTTCCTGTATAAAATCTGGCAAAACGATGCCCCTTTGAGAAAAGAGTCTGACTGGCCTGACATATTGAAGAACAAAAAAATCTTTAAAAATAGTCGTGAATACAGGAACACATGAGCATTCAATTGGAAAAGTGTAAAAAAGTCTTTGGTCTGTAACAAAAAAAGATAATGTGCAACATCTATAATCAATCAACAAATGACGGCAAACATTGAATTCTGTAAGCTTCAAAGTCTTACCATGTTAACATTTGGGTCGGGTTGAGACATTGTCATCCATCCAAAGATTACATATACAGTATTTGGAGGTTAAGGTTAGTTAATTAATATTAATAGTTTTGTTTACAAATATTGATTCATTACGCTGATGTCTATTTCGTTAAGCATAGTTATTCAAAATACCCTAAAATCCCCAAAAAAGATTTAAAAAAGCTTATCAGTAAGGTTTTTCATTGTCTTTATTTCCTCCTATGTTTGACTTGACTAAGGCAGTACTAATCCCACCCTTAAATAACCTGTCAATTCAAGTTAAGTCTTGGAATCTTTAATGCAATGCACCTCATTTAGTTAACCTGGATTCTTATTGATCCTCACTGTCCTTGTTGTTTCATAATGTGAAAAAGTATGCATCACATATCCATTCTACTATACCTTGCATTTGGTGTTCATGAGCAACCCATTTGGCTTATTAGTAATGATTATGTTATTTGTTTTTATTTGTCTATTCCTTATTAATGGTTTATCAGGTGACTGTTAGATGTTGATAAGGTGCTTTAAAAAAATATACTAAACAATACAATTGGACAAACATAGTATCTTATGCATTTCTAGGGGTTATGTATATTAGAGTGATATCACATCAGTTTAAAGATCAGTTGCAATCGTTTTGGATATCACTAGGATACGAGAATCCTTGAAATGATTGTTCAAGGATGACAGGCTTACATCCATTAATCATCCCATCCAAAGAAGTTTGGGGGATATAGAGAATGGCTCTGTCTGTCCGTACGTACGTCCATACATCTGTTTGTATGGTGTCCGTCCAAGCAATAACTCAAATACCATCAGTCCAATATTGTTTATATTTGAATTTGAAGTACAATATATTGATTGAAGTGAAATATGTCTTGTTTTTTTTCTGTAATTAAAAAACATATTGTAGGATTTTGTTAAAGTTTTATTGTGAACACTAAGAATATTATATTGGCCAACGACAATTGAGCAGTTATGTCGTTCTATTGGATTTGCGATGCCTTGGCATTGCTGTTATTTAGTTACTTAAGGAACTGCAGTTGAGTGAACAAATGCCAATCTCTGAGATTAGCTGATGACATCTGGGGATAAAGAGTCATCTGTTTGATACTGTATTGATTGAAGACAAGTATAGTTTTGTATTCTGGAGTATATTTAAATTGATCCAAAGTAATAGTTCTGATCTTGGATTGTCTGTATTTTCAATTCTACACCTTATGTGGGCTCCGCAAGGGGTATGGGATAGGCGACCTGGCCTCTAAAAATGGGACTAAATGGGACTTTGGGGTATTTAAAAAACAAACAAATGTGACAAATGAATGCTTGCAAGTGACAATTTTGTACATTGATCCGACTGACTAGGGTTTTGAAATTGACAAAAATAGATACTTTGTTCTGAATGTAAATAGATGCAAGTTAAAGATGATTTTATAATTCTAAAACCAGTAATCAAACAATAGAACATAACAGACCCTTTGTTGCACTAAATGCTTTGACTGACTAAAAAGGAATTAATCCGACAAAATGTGACAAAGTGACAATTTTGAAATTTTAAAAGTGACAAAAGCGACCTCACTGCCCCCTCTTTGGGAGCCCTCTTATGGATCAAAAATTATTCTAACTCTAAACTTTGGAGATCTGTCTATTTGTTTGGCCCACCTATATTGTAAAACCTAAAATCACAAAACTTGTAAATACTACCTGTTAATGGACTCTATTAGTGGCCTTTGATGGGCCATGATCAAAGGTCATATCATCTTTTGTAGAAACATCACTTTTAGTGCTGTGCTCTGTTATGTTTGTAGTACATCAGATTGACATTATTTAATGAATTTCGTGATTGAGAGTGTTTGGCTCACATGGTGAGCCTGTGGAATTGCTTGTGATGTGTCGAATCTCTCCAGTTGTCCATTGTTATTTACTCCCATATTTTTCCCTGTTTTCAAGAAATCAGCTTTTTGTCATCAAAATATAACATTTAGCAAATGAATCATCATATGACCCCAATTAATGGTACTATTTTTATGTTTCCTTTGCTCCTTCATGTTATGCATCATGGTACATAGATAGTAGTTGGGTACACTTGAAATATTACTTTGATTTGTTCACTATTATACCTGTCTTCTGCAATGATTAATGGCTTAAATTGTTCAAACATTCTCATGGATATAGATAATACTATTTCATTGTATTCTACATTGTATCAGCATTTTATTTGCTAAGAATATAACATAGAAAGAAAAATGAGAAAACTGTCTAGAATCCTTGACGCTTTCTCAGAAAAATAATGTTTTTTTTGATACCCAGATATCTATGTGGAGTTTTAATGATTGCTAAATGTTTTTTCTTTGTTTGCTATCCTTATGTTTGCTAATTGTATGTTTACCAAATGTATATGAAATTGTTTCTCTCCTCAAGTGCTTGCCTCTTCCGATTATGATAGTTCTTCCTTTATGGAGTTTGAAAAAAGGAAATATTCACATGAATTTTAATACAATTTAATCATATTAAAAGCTTGATAAGATTGTCAATTGATAATTTTACTTCTTGAGATTGTCAATTTTTATTTTACTTCTAAAATTGACCAAAAGAGCATTGGAAAGTAAAACAAAAAACAGTTCCCTCTTCTTAAAGGGTCATGGTCCATACTATGTGAAAATGAATGCCTACTGCATTGTTTGAAACCAAGAAAATATTTAATCCAATTATCCCACATGTGTATCAGAATAAAAGGAAGTAATTATAACACAACATTGTTATTTAAATGTTGAATTTACAATTATATTTTTGTAACACAATCATTTGTTTTCATCAGTCAGTGCACTATAACACAATATGGGAGTTCAAAGCCAGTCAATGAAAGGAGGAGTTCTTCCAAATGAGACTGCTTTCAATTGAAGCCACAATATATTTGTCACAAATTCGTATATAACAACATTCACTATTAACAGAATTTATAACCATCTTGTGTTGTGGACACATTCGTCACAGAATCTCTTACACATCAGCAAAATATACCCAACGGTCTAACAAAATCAACATGAGTCATTAGAAATGCTCATGAGCATTTATTTTGTAATATGCCTTCTTAAAAACAGGTCCATACCAAAATATATACAGAAAGGGCAACATAGCAAGAAACTATGCTTAAACACACCCAATCCTATCTTATTCTGTTTAATATTGATAAACATCAAGCGCATTTACTTTTGTGAAGCCATAGGCAAAGGTTGATCCTGAGACCCGATGCAGAATGGCACTGTAGTTAATGTGCAGAAACCCCATTATTTCTCAATGTTTAAAGATGTATAACTCGATCACTAAAGCTTAACATGTCTTATCCTCAAGTCTCTATTTTAATATGGATTGCCTATCACTTCCTGTGTCTTCATGAATAGTCTGTGAATATCATAGTCTATCATGTCTTAGTATCATTCCTTTAGTCTTTACTATTTCCGATTACATGTTAATGAATATACTGCATAAGACTTATCTGTTCGGAGTAATATATGTATATCTATTAACCATGTGATCAGTTTTAAAATTCTCTCAATCTTTTCACAGGCAAATTGCGTGTGAACGATATTTTTACCATACTGCATAAGACTTCTTCATCCAGAGTAATATATCTACATACCACACGATCAGTTTTAAAATTCTCTTGATATCTTCAAACGTAAATTGCGTGTGAACAATATTTTTACCATACTGCATTAGACTTATTCGTCCAGAGTAATATATCTACATACCATATTATGATCGGTTTTAAAATTCACGACATTGCATGTAAATACTATTTTAACCAGTTTTTCATTACATGCAATAAGTATGTCACATTAACTTATAGTCAGACATGGATTGAGTTGTTTTCCATACACATGATCAGTTTTAAAATTCTCTTGATGTCTTCAAACGTAAATTGCGTGTGTACAATATTTTTACCATACTGCATATTGACTTCATCGTCCAGCGTAATATATCTACATACCATATTATGATCGGTTTTAAAATTCACGACATCGCATGTCAATACTATTTTAACCAGTTTTTCATTACATGCAATACGTATGTCACATTAACTTATAGTCGGACATGGATTGAGTTGTGTTCCATTATTCACTGAACAATTTATTTTCCTGTTAGATGATATATAGAGTTGGTAGTTCAGGAACTTTTTTCATGATGCGTGAACATTTCATTTATTGTGATGTCATAATGATTATAGTCCTAGTTGAATCCATTTGTTTCTCATCGTGCAATCATGATATATAATTTTTTTTGTTACAGTAATTCAGTCGCAACTTTCAAACACTATTGCATCCCAATAGTATCTCCTGTTGAAGGGATGTGAGTTCACGATAATGATGTTGCAACTTTGATAGCAGTATTGTATTTTGCCATGCATGTTGATGAGGTTATGAAGTCTAATGGTAATGTTACAACTTTCTAGCGTGATATGTCTTACCATGCACATTGTAGTTGATGAGTTGTACGGTCACAAAGATGATGTTGCAACTTTCTAGCACAATTGTATCTCACCATTATTTATGTTGGCCATGGCATAACATCTTTCTTAGAAAATTGTACCTCACCATTCATGTACACCGGCTGTATGTATTGTAGCAACTTTTCAGGCCATTTGTATCTCGCCATGCATGTTGATTGGCTGTGAGGTAACAATGATGATGTACTGATTTTCAGGCCTAAAAATAGATGAACGTCATAATGTTATTATTGGCATATTAATAAATATTATTTTACAGTATGAATTGGTATAAATCAAAGGAATTGAAGAAAAGGTTCATATTCTTATGCAAAGTCAACAACAATTCTTTCATTACTGCAACTACTTCAAGACAAAAATTGCTCCATGTTGTTAGATAACTTTTTTATACTGGAGTACTTTTGTCAAGATCACTTCAAATGAATCTGTTGAACGCTTGTCAAAGGTAATATACCATTCTGTGTTGGAACCTTAAGTATTAAACTAAGCAGACAGAGAAGTAATTTCTAATCAATCAATCAATGAGTGCACACATTATATAAGGCAAATAAAATTGGAGAGGAAATATACATATTATTAAAGCAATGCAAACAGATCAAGCAAAGGGAGGAAAAGGATACAAGGCTGGCCTGATAAAATTAAAAGAACATTGATATTCTGGTTATTCTAAAACATAATTGAAAATCGTTTATCAATTATTATCAATAAAGATGTTTCTAATGAAGATCAAGAAAAACACCCCTTAATATCTATTTTCACAACATTTCCAGCATTTATGGCATTTAATTAATATTAAATGAGAACAAAAGACACATGCATGGTTGACTTCAGACAAGCTTTTGATCAACATCAATAGCGCTATTTTGAAATATATGGACTCAATAAATCAGGCATTAGCCATTACTCTGAAATGTCCAAAAATATTGATAGCATGTAGTCAAGATCATGCTTAAAATGCAAAATGGAATATCACACACCTTTAATACCGTTAACCTTTACAGAAGTTGGAGTTATGCAAGGAAGAGTATCTCAAGTACAAAAGCTTTTCAGATTTTAGAAAAATGTAGTATGGAAAATCACTGGGTACAAATTATATTGATGATACATATCAGTTTATAACATACGTACGAAAAGAAAATTCATAACTCCAACACTCTATACGTTCAATTGATAAAGTTAGAGCATATAGTGCATTACTTCTGGGACAACCCTCGTATTGTTAAATTATTTTATAAAATGTTAATGTATTGCTTACAGTCAGTAGGTAGTCCAAGGAATGTAAAAAATACATTTCTTTCTTGAACTTTCTGTTTCAGTATTTGGTTATAGTAGTAGTAATGTCCAAACATAGTTTATGGAGCATTAGTATATTTGAAAACAGTTCTCAAGATGCACCAATAATAGTACTTACTGGAGGAGGAAATTGAAGTTGAAAACATGAGCACTTATTATCACTTTATAAGGTCATTAGCTTTTACAAATGAGGTGTTATTTCATTATCATTGATTATTGCTGTTATTTCCTCTGATAATAGCTAATGATTGTGATACAAAATATTTAATTAGTCATACTGGGAATCAGACATATTGAGATTCATATATTTGATACCATCTAAGAATTTTGAGTGCTATAAATTTCATCCTTCACTGGTCATTGATATCGTATTACATTCCGAATGAGTAGGATGAATAGAAAAATCTATTCCTGGAAGTCCAAAGAAATTAGGTACTAAATGTATGACAGTTTTTGCTGGATTATTCATCCATCTGTTTTTTTTGCTTTTTCTATTTAAAATAAACAGCAAAATATATACAACATATTACAGTGAGTGTGAGTACAATGCAAAATCATTTTCAAAAATTAATCAGTGTTTAAAATGCAATCAGCTAAATAATAAATGCTGGTATTGTCCTGTTTACAAACAGCAATGCAGTTTTTAAGTTGGATAAATTTCTAAGATGCAACCTTGGTTAGTCTGGAATTACCAAATAAAATGTCATTTCAGGTTTTCAGGTTTCTCTATCAATATCTATTGTACAAATTAAAACAAATATTATGATTTTTATGCACTTTCTGCTAAGGAAGCTGCTTAAAAACTTAATGGCAGTTATTTACGATTTTATTCAAGTAAATTGAACTTCAGTAAATAATTTACATGCTCGAAAGATTTATTTTGCCATTAACAAGAGGTTATTACTAAAATGATAAAATCATGAATATTACACAATAATTTTTGTATATTTGTCCAATATAAAATATTTATTCAGTCATTCTGAAAACATAAAATGATGCTATTGTTATTAAGTCTGAACTTATTTGAATGTAAACCAGTTAAGTCAACCTGGATAAGTGATTTAGTCCATAAAATCGTTTCAGGCCACTAAGTAAATGTGCCTGTGATGTGGTTTATTAGGTTCCATTGCTCTACCATAAAATAACAATCAAGCGAAAGGCTGGCAGCTTCATTACTAATTCCCAATCAGAAAGTATCATTGCAAAACTATTTCGTATTTATGTTTCTACATGTAAACTATGAGAAAGTTAGTTGAAGGGACCCGACAGACTATAATAGATATGTCACTGATACAGGTTTTTAGAAACATTTTGACCTAAATTATTATAGAATATTTTTGTTTACCACCATTTTAGTGAGTAATACCTCTTTGGTAGGATTTGTGATTTACATATTTGAAGCTGGATGATGAATGTTAATGAAATTAAAAACCCTGGAGAAATGACTTTGATGGATTCTTTAGTAATGGTAACAGCTTCCTATGCATTAAATCTTTATTGTATGCACTTAAGTGTTCTCTGGTTTAGATAACATTATATATATGAAGTGTACACTTTTTAATCATGGATTGATTTGCATATAGGACCATAGCGGAATTTACCACTGGTACATTCCTGTCACATAAGAGTTACCTTACATTATCAGGTATTTTTGACATTGGAATGGACAAGCTCAAGACATGTAAAACACTCATCTGTAAACCAATGGGTATTTTTTCTCTTTTAAAGACATTCGGAAAGATATATATTTCTATCAATTCCTGTTTAAATATATCAGTGGTGAATATTGATGTGAAAGTCAAACAAATTGATGTCCTAAATATCCTATTGAAGATAAAAGAGATGCATTGATCTCATGTTTACTAATCTTATGCAGTATGAATTGAGATCGAGGTAATTTGACCTTGAATATTGAAACAAATGGGGAAAAAGTCAAAAACTTTTTTTGCAGTGAAAAATGGTCTGTAGAAGAACCTCTTGTTGCTACATTTAATATACTTGAAGAAACTTTAAAACTATTTCAGATTATTCAAAAGATCATACAAACCTTAAGACAAAAAAACTTTGATAGTACATTTGGACCAAACCAAATTGATGCCAATCAGAAAAATGGGAAAAGGTATGAGGTCATTTTACACGGATTCCTACATGCATTTGAGCATTGATTCGTATATTTGGGTATGCTTCAATGAACCATGCCCATTTTATTTTCAAGTCTTTTAATGAACATATTTTGATTTGCCTTTTTTGATTGATATTAAGATCTCACTTTTGTTGATAATTGATTTGTAGCTTGTCTATTAAACCTGTTACGGTATATTGTCAGAAAACTATGTGGTGGATTATAGTATTCAAGGCAAACTTTATTATTCCACTGAACAAAGTTCAAGTTGGGATTTAGATAAGCCATTCATTCCTTTGTTGCATCATCAATTAGTCTGTTGCCTTATTTCATTCATCTATCAGGGTGAAGTTCCAGGTGGTTCAAGTTGTATATGCTGCTGTCAAGAAGGCTACTAAATTCAAAATAGCTGCCATTTTTATGAACAATTATTAACGTTATCATTATTGGTCCATATTTTATAGGCAACTAGTGTCTTTAGGAATAGGACCTTGGGGTCCGTTTTTGGAACTGTCATAACTTACGATTTATTTGTCATTGTTTGTCATAAAATAGACAATGATTTTCTCAGAATTGTAAGTTACGATCGTGCCATAAGCGAAACCCTGTGTAGGAAAGATTATCCGAAAGGGAATTTCCAATATGGCATCACATCATGGGTGTAGACTAAGTTTAGCATAAATACTGCCTGCTTTTGAAATGAAATGTTAAATGATGAGTTATTTGATTAAATATTTTTTGTTCGGAGGGATTTGCCAACACACGAGGAGTTGCTGTTATTCTAGTTGTTTCGTAACTGAACTTAATACAATATATATGTATATCAATCAATCTTGAGGTATTGGCACTTTTTTTACATTATTGATAATGTTTATTTTCTGTTTTGATATGCTAAGATGTATTGTAGCTAAAAACCTATAAATAAATAAAACAGCTTTCTTGGTGTATCTATAAAAATACCCCATTGGTGGCATATATTGATATCCTGTAATATACAAAGCTCTGATTAAGCAGTTATCATCTTCCTTCAAGATCCCACCAGATTTAATCATGCACGATTTGTTCATATTGAAGATATGTATTGTTAAACCATTTTTCTATGCAGTGGTACCTGTTGATTTTACATATAATCTTACTGCTTATTACGACACTGTGTTTATGGTAAACCTACTTCAACAGTGATGTTTAAAAACTAAAATTGTAATACTGAAGTATTGCCAAAAAGGTAACCCAGACAAATCTTAACTATATCTTTGGGTTTTGAGTCATCCTTGGCACATTTGAACCTTGTTCAATGTCCTTTCAATCCAACAGGTTTCATTGAACTATTCCAAATGGTCAAGATTAAATGACCATTTTGCAAAACCTGCAAAATGCTGATCTTGTCTTCAGTAACAAATTTGAACGCATCGAGAGAAGTTTTCTAACTACACGCTCAAAGATATCTTGCGTAATGGCTCTCATTTTCCTTCAACTCTATTTTACACCTCCCTGATGCTCCTATGTTTGTTAAATGTACATATTATCTTTGAAATAGCCCAAATGATAAATTTCTTGGGGTTCATATTGGGTGATTTTGGTATGTTTTGGCATTTGAAGCATGTTTTGTAAAATGGCTGTAAAATACATTGTAGTGACCATTTGGAATAGACCAATGAAACATACTAGAATGTAACAAAATATGACTTAAAACCCATTCTGGATGACTATTTAGGTATTAAGATTTGTTTGGGTTATTTGTTTTGTGGCTCACCCTGTATTTAAAAGGCATTCCAATAAGCTTGTAATTACACAATAAATTGTTTTGACTCTAGCTTAATTGTCTCTTGTTTAAAAACTGCTAAACTTTTTTCTTTCCTTTTCTGTGTTCTGTAACCATTTTTAGTACTTCCCATTGTCATTTGCAAATATTTTTTTTTTCAAAATACACAGTTGCACAATACCATTTATTCACTCCAATTAGAGGTACAACAATGGTCAAAATGAATCAAAATGTATTAAGGATATCACCTAACAGGTGTTTCCATGGTAACCAATTTAATTTCAGTTCAAATAAACAACATTTCCTTTGCCAAAACATGCACAGAGGACATTTACTTAACTGGAAATATCTGAATGTAAATTGAAATTTCATTTAGAAGTAACTGTATAAATATAGACTTTCCAACAGTACTGAAATTGTCCATGGGGTCCATCAACTTTCAAACTCTACTTGTTTTTCGGGTTTTCCACTCAGGTATAAATCTCCATGCATGTGAAGACAAACATATGTGCCAAGTGAACAATACATTATTCTAGATTACCTCTGCAATAATCAATGCATGTAAGTTCAATTCTTGTTTATGAATTTAAGGAAACTATTGTAAAAAAGATATTGAACTATATTGAGCTATTTTCATCAAATGCAGTTGTTCATCCACGTGAGGCTCATGTCTTTATAAAAATAAAGGATACATTATATTTACACCTATTGTGATAGGTGCCATGGTGATGAAACCATGGTGCATTGTGATGACATTGGCATAATATGTTTTCTGTCCTCAAAACTGTACCGACTGAACTAATACCAATAAGCTGATGCATATATTTATCTGGCATTTATAGTTAATTTATTACTCTTACTAAAGCTACCACACTGTACTTTATAATCAGTGATTGTATTTCTTATTTCAAAGTTTCACAATTTAATGTATAAAAAAATCAAAATGAGATTAATAGTTCATATTGAATAACTTGTGTATAATAAATCTCATACTTGAGTGGGTTTGGGGTAGATATCACCCAAGAATATATATCATATCTGAGGAGTGGGCAGGATATATTGTATGTCCCGCTCAAGGTCAAATGCAGGCACATAAAATATATCAATCCAGCTCCCGGGAATTTTTCAAAGGTTTAAAAATCAAAAAAATTTAAAAGTTTGAAGTTTTAAATTTTGAAAGTTTAAATGTTACAATTTCATTGTAATTCAAAGGAATATTACGAAAATGTTAATTATAACTACAGTATACTATATATATGCCTGTTTTGTCATTTGAAAAAGGTGGAAAGGTATATCTTCCCCAAACCCGCTAAAGCATGAGATACACCAGTTATGTACGGTCGGTTTTGGATATTATAACCAAAACCTCCCAGTACATAATCCTTATATATCTATTAAGCCTCCCAGGTATTAATTGATCATTGTTTTGAATGCTATATCTGTCAATAGTCCTTTATGGATCTTTCAGCTCGGAGTCTTGAAAATTGGTATTGAGTGAAAGATGTTCTGGGCAGATAAACTTTATCATAAATATGTAACAATCACACAACCAGGTATTTTTGCTTGCTAATATATATATATGATTTTGAGGGGTTTATTTCTTATTGCATTTTTGCAAATGTCTCTTATGATAATGATCAGATAGAGGATCTTTTGTTGGTCAATTATATTCTTGAAAGTCTTTAATGGATTTTGATGTTTCTTAGAAAATGTTGATGTTTCTTAGAAAACTAATTTCTGTCTTGTGCATTTTGATGATCAATGCAATTTAAGCTAATTACTACCGACAAGATAACCTACTTTATACTTTTCCTTTATTAGATTTCCTGTTTGGAAATCATACTGTCAATATTTAGCCTATAATAAACATGATTTGCCATTCAAATGAATAAATCTTTTTTGAAGGGGCTTATTGTCATACGTTATGTCATACTATTTATATTTAATTTGTTTCCATTTCCCCATCTTTTCTTGGAGTGCATTACTTACATAAATGTCTGTGATAATTACAATTTCCTAATTGTGAACATTCACTTTCTCTATATAGGTATATCTTATTTGCTGATGAAATTAATTTTCTGAAGTACTTAACAACAAAATTATGAAATAATAACATGGCTTTGAAAAACATTAGTGGAATTGAACTTAGGGATCATGCACAACTGTCACAATCCCCACTATATTTAGGAAAATTAAAAAATGTATGATTGGAAATGAAAAATACAATGCAAATAAACTAAGAACATAAGAGAGTTTGAAATTAAAATATGCTTTGAAGCAACTAATAAGAAAAGATGTAAAATTATAATTCTTGAACAGAATAGTGTTAAGAGTTGTACCCAGTATATTAATATATAATGATGTATCACAAAAATGTACATGTCATGAAAAATAATAATTAAACAACCCAAACTAACTGAAATACAGATCTATTTACAACTATTTTAACCAAAGGTAAATCAATAATAAATAGCAAATATATAATGTCCTCCATATAGACTGTATTTAAAAGTGAAGTGAATGAAAACATAGAATGAAATTCTGTGCTAGGAGCTGCTGGACTAAGGTCCTGACTTATGCATAGTCAGATTTAAACAGGTCGAACTAATGATTTCCCAAATCAACATTACAAGTATTGACACTGTGATAATAAACTATGTTTACAAAATTGATACATTTTTGATAAGTTGATTTGGAATTAATCTAGATGGTCCCAAGTGATAGGGATGATGATGATGATAAAGTAGACTGGCAGAAATATGCATTTGTTTGAAATATTAAACTTGTTTGGTTAACGATTTAAAATGCACCAGGAGATCAGTAATATTTCAAGCAAATACATGTCACACATGTGTTTAAGCCTTTTGGAGGTTAAGCGTGAATACCTACATTAGAATTATACCCACGTTTCATTGGTCAAGCCATATTTCACTGAATCTGTGTTACTCTTTGCAGAGTCTGCTGTGATTCTCTGAGGACTTTCCGTATAGGCAAAACACCGTTTGAATAATTTTCGTTTCGCTGTTGGACATTTCCGCGTTACTTGTGCCCAGAATAGATGGCGTATTGTTTTCCTGAATGGAATGTTGATAGTATAGTATAATATAAAGTTTATGGCAGAATTACAACTCTGCATAAAGTTTGTTATCACCATGGCGATTTGGTACTTGTAGAAATTGTTAACGTTCGATTCAACTAGTCCTTTGAAGAATTTCAACAACTCAGCTGGCGCAGAAAGACAGAAGAAAAGAACAACAACACCAATGAGGGTATGTGTAAGCCTGCTATTCCACTCTCCCTGTGAAGATCCCCTGGATGCCTTCACATAAGATGCCTTTCTCACTTTGTATGATTTATGGAGTGCACGTATCAGGCAAGTGTTGGCTGTTAAGAGCATTATGAATGGAACAATGATGCCTACAAAGGCCCAACAGATTCTATATACATATAAGAAATTATCATTTGGTGTATTCCATCTTGTTTCCATCATGTATAATCTTCCACTTTCTTTGCAGTCAATTTCGACCAGAAGGTAAATGAAATAACGAGGGAGGCTGAACAGGATAGAGATGATGAATACTGCTGTAATTGTTGCTCTTACGTATGTGAACATAATTGCTTTACGAGCATGTAATGGTAAACACACTACTATACATCGTCCTGTAGCAATTGTCACAGTCAACCATGTTCCAGTCATTATGAACGTATTGTGAAGTGCTCCGCGATATATTGTATAATACAACCAGAATGATCGGTACGTGTAAGCCCTATCACCTGGATAAAAGGCATGTGGAATCCTGACAGTACAAAAAAGGAGATCAGACATGGCCAATGCAACAAGTCCAATACAGCCACTTTTCTCCATTTGGTCCATTTTTCTTAGCATTCTCTTCCTGGTCAATATCACAAGATTTAAAGAATTTCCTAATATTCCAAATGAGCAAATAATTGGGAGAGCAATGTTGTTTAAATAATATTTCAGTTGTAAATATACCTTTTGAAGGTGATCAGTGTGTGTATCGATTGGATCAGTATAGTTATTATATGTATAGTTAAAATTTGTGTAATTCATATCTAGTTCATAATCATTTCCCAAATCTATCGCTGATTTACCCGAGAAGTAATAACTACAGAATTGTTCTTCCCAATCAATCGGTTGTGATGTACTTGTCATGTTGCTTGAGTTTGATGTCATTTCTATGTCATAATCCATATTTGTAGTTCCGACAAACCCAGGGATTCTGAAATCAGACCAATATAATGACGAAATGCTCATATATAGTTTATTTATGTTTATGTACAAGTTGCATGTATTATTTGAAACAGAGAAAAATCAAGCATGTTTTTTTTTTAACTTCTGACATGCTTATGTGTTCTGTTACTTTCTTTTTCAATCCAAAAAATGAATTAATGTAGTTTAAATTTTTTTCAAATATTAAATATCATAGAGCATCTTGGAACCTCCAATTATTATATGTGTCTCATTTGTAGCCATAAACATGATTTATCGAAAATTGACAGTGCTATTCCATCAATTCCACTATATTGAGTTATATTTTACTTATAAAGCAATACGAAATAGAGATGTAGTTTTGTTGATTAATGTGGATGGAGAATACCAATATTAATTGATCAACCATTCTTCTCTCAGTTTCCTTCTGTATAGTACTATAGTAGATACATAATCATTAATCATATCAATTAGGAAGTTCTATTTGTTGAACTATAGCTTGTAGAAATATGAAGAATTATTTGATCTTCTTGATCTAATGTAACCTAAGACTTCTTATTAAACGTGGCACTAATGGTGAATTATTGAGGCATGTTTTTGAGAATTAACATATCAGAAATCCTTTCCTTGATTAGCAGGTATTGAATGCTTTATGATTATGAACAATCGATTCTAGTCCTGCAATTAAGGGGATATGTATGTATCATATATATGTACATTAATGAACACTCCAAAATAAGTTTTCAGTCTAATTTGTTTTTAGTCTAAATTGTTTTGGAAATATTCAGATCAACTTAAACCAAAAAAATGTTTTGCATATGAAATGTAGAATGAAGAAACCTTGAAAATTTTATTTTACGAAGAAATATATAGCTACGTTTAATTAAACTTTACTTACATTCAAATATTTCCAGTTAAGTAAATGTCCTCTGTATATATTCGCTAGATTATCCACAATAAATACCTGATCTTAACTTGCCATTAAATCTATGTATTGATATAGCAGCCTTCCCCGGATATTTGATTGTTGCAGTAAATCCAATAAACAAATCTGTTACTTGCTGTGGAGAAAATTCTGCAATAAGTCTTATGTCCCATTGAGTCATTTTATATATGAAAGTGAATGACGTCACAATATCGTGTGAGTTCTTTTCTGTTTATGAACTTACCGTGGTGGTGTTAATAATAACAGTCGGATATAATTATGGTTTCAAAGTGATTGATCAATATTTGTGTTCTGAATGATTTTTGAAGGATCCTATTGCCAAATCAATGGATTGTATAGAATAAGAAGCCCATTTGAGTGGATTCCTATTTGGGAAACGTGAATACTTCAACTTCCAATAAATTATACAATCAATAAAAATAATTTCACATATCAAGTGCAGTTATTCATGTATTTGATTAATTCCAATTCACATTTACTTCAATTGAAATATGGACCTGAATGTGAGACATATGTATAGATATCTAATTTGAATATATTGATTTAAAAATAATCTATTCATTTGTCATACTTTATTCAAAGTCCATTCCTATATAGATCTAAAACCTTCAAATGTGTTACATCTATATCATCCTAGTAGATTCTAAATTGGCAAATGTATTCCCACGTGAAATTATAGATTGATTATCATGTAATGCTTCATTTGATTTTGATACAAGATAAGTTCAAAAAAATTTGTTAGGCATAAATGTTTTAAGTAAAATCTTCCACACCGGTGAATTCAATCCAAGTACTTTAATGCAGATTTGGAGAAATCTAATCGACAAACTATTAATGTATCAAGGCCTTTCAAACTAATGCCAAGCCTAATGATATATGGTTTAACTATAATCATTTTTAGCCAAGGAACTCCTGTTGTTTGGATGCTTTCATTCTGTTTATTCATTCCTGCAGAGTATAGTGAAAGTTAATTGATGAACAAGCTGTTTAGTCTCTTTTAGAAATTGGAGATCTATGTCATCATAGATTTTCTATTGCTGTTTGATCTAATTGCTGATTTGTTGACATAAGCAGATACATTCTTCAGTATTTAGTCTTTAGAAAATATGATCTTGAAGCTTGAAGTATAGCACATAGAATGATAAAGTCAATGCAGGATCAAGTAGCTTAAAAGGGACCTTGTATGACATGTTAAAGAATGTAAACAAATGAAAACAGAAAACCATAAACGTTGAATTCTCTAAAATTAGGTTTAATTCAAAACATACCATTATATAATACTAAATTCAACCTAATCCTAATTATAAAGTTGTTCTTTAAATCACCTCATAAGATGAAAATGCAAAGTTGAAAACATCTCTCGTTACCAAGAAATTACTCATTAAATGTAATGCAGAATCATACTTGTTCTTTTTTGTCTGTAAAGATCAGTGAAGCAATGTATCCTTTTAACATTTCCAATATTGGGAAACTGCACAGTTTGAGATTATGTTAACCAGGATTTAAACCTACTTGAATAGTGTAGTTTCTTTTTACCCACAAGTATCAATTAAAACACATTACTTAAGAATGATTTAACTAGCTTAAAACATTCAAAGCCTTATTCCATAAAAGAAAAACAGTGGTCCTCAAACAATAACGTGAACCATTATTTTCACAGGGCCTTCACAGAGGGATACATTTTAAGAGTAATTTGATTATCATCCGAGCAACTAAAGTTCAGTAGGGATATTATGAAGCCCTCCCTCTGTCTATCTGTCTGTTATCTTGTCCATCAAAAGATTAATATACAGTATGGGCCAAAAAACAATACCCAAGTTTTAAGATGAATATCATGCCATGTATTCTATATCATTTTCAAGATACATCATTCCCTAACAATATGACACCATCCAATTGAAAAACTGTTGTTTTCTTGAGGAGTTAAAGGCTTAATTGACACAGGGGTGTCATGAACGACCAAAAAATTATTCCCTCCAGATTTCCAAATTGTGGAAAATGGGAATTTGAACTTTTGCACCTTAAAAAGAGGTACATTTATACAAGTTTAGTGCAAAAATCACCAATAATATTTATATCTTTTTAATTAACTATCACTTGTGTATTACTCTTAAATAAAATTATGATGATTCAGGCAAGCATATCGAGTCCAGCTGTAACTGCTGGGAAATCCTGATATTTTCATTTTTTGATTTTTGGTCGCTCATCACACCCCTGGTGTCAATTTTTGCCTCTAAATCCACAAGAAAACAATGGTTTTTCAATCTAATGGTGTTTTATTGTTAGTAAATGATCTTTAAAATGATATATAATGTATTGCATGGTTAAATATATCATATGAATAATTCATCTTTCAACTTGGGTATTGGTTGTATATACAAAGTATACATTTTTAACATATATTCCATGTTTTTGGCTCGACCCCCAGGAAGCTAGCATGCATTAATTTTGATACTAGTTTTTTTGATTTTAAGATCTCCCTTTAGCGTAGGTTGCATTGAATTGTTTTTTAACTTTGGCACTGGAAAATTGGCCACCTAATGTGGGATTTCATAATAATGTTGTGATCTCTTCAAAATATTGCTTTATATTTCAATCAAGAGATCACAATTATGAAATCATTTTTCTGATTCATGCTTCAGAAAATTCAGAATTGCTGCCTAAAGGTGGAATTCATTGTAATTTAGAGATCTGTTGAAAGTATGGTTGTATGGTTACATTATATTAAATAGGATCACAAATAATGTATTTATTGTGTTATTTATATCTTTATAGTTTCTGCCTTTGAAAATGTAAAATGGCCACCCAAATGTTCAAATTGGTGGAAATTCTAATAAATCTCAAATCTGTCTTAAATTATCTGCATAAGGGTAGAGTAGATGGTAAATATTATATTCTGGAATATTCTGTTTCATTAATATTTTGTTTGTTTGCTACTCCATGGAGTTGCAGTTTTTAAGTTTGAAACATTTGAATATGGCATCGAAAAATGGGCACACTTGTCTAACAGTTTGTTATTTTTGATGAAAATATAGTACAAGAAGTTATGTGTTCCATCATAGATTTGTCGAGGTACCACGCTCTTTACATATAATTCAATTCCAAAATGGTAAAAGCACTACTTAAAAAGCTTTTTGCTTCAAGCAATGGTTTATGTTAAAGTACAAAGTAATTTTCTTTTCAATATGTCAAATATATTCCCATCCTAGACTATATAAGGTGATTAAATTTTTCTTGTTGCAGTTGGATAATCCTATTCATATAGGAACCATTTGCATTTTGATTGCTCTTTAATTGGTCTTCAATTGGTCAATTTTGTATCAACATGACTGATGGTTTTGAGGTCTCAATTGAATTTTGTCTTACCTAATATCATGAAAACCATTCATTGAATTTAATCCATGATAATGTCTTACGAATTATTGACAAAACTTTATATATTGTTTTTTTTAAAATTTTATTCCATAGCATGATATTAATAGGATAACATGTCAAAATAAAAACGGTATTTCTGTAATCAGTGGTAAAATATGATATTTTTTTGACAAATTTCCACTTAACCATAGCATACGGTGTTTAAACTGTGACACACCGCACCGTATGCTATGAATTATGGATTTTTGCTACTTCAGATTTAAAATGAGGCTAAGTATCAACATAGACGGATCGTTTGGAAAATTTGAATTAAATCACTTAATTTCCGACGATTCTGATAATGACTTTAACTATGGAATAAAAAGAACATCCTCTGTATATTTTACATTTTAGAATAACATATTAGCATATTAGCTCATACCGTTACCATTTTTATAC